TTTTTTTAATCCTAAAAATCATTATCATGTGCCCAAATGAAAATTTCCACTCGGTCCTTTTTGGACCATTTTCGAAAATTACCTAAACACATTCACATATAGATTTCGACCTCTAGAAGTTATTTTTGGCCTTATTTCTTCGATATGTCCCACCATTTTTCCACAAACGCCGATAGAAATTACAGTATTATTTAGGATTTTTTTTTTAAACTTCAATTTTGAACCTAATATATTTTGTTTTTGTCGAACTTTACCTTAGTTATCAAAGAAATGAGATAGAAAATAACTTCTGGAGGTCAACATTTTCAAAAGTGGCCGAAAAGAGTCGAAATTTTCATATAGAAAAATTAAACTTTCTAAAATTCATCTCGACGTGCTGATTCAAAAAGTATAATAATATTCAGTTTGGAATTCAATTTTTTTCTGAATTCTGAAAAAAATGATACGAGTTATGGAAGAAATCATGCCAAAAATAATTTTTGTCTTTAGGTAGTTTTGAAAGGTGGTCGAAAATGGGTTGAAATTTTTACACTAAAAAATTGAGCTTTGGACAATGTTGTCAAAAAGCGCTAAAAAATTCTGGGATATGTTTCTCCATGTACTGATTCCAAAATATAGCGTGTTTGTGATCCCGGAGCAAGATTTTAGAAATATTTGATAAAATAAGAAAGAATCTCAAGAGTCCCTAGTGTTATTTTTTTCTAAAAGACGCAAGGATCTCGGAGTCCCCTAGTGTTTTTTATTAGAGAAGCTGAAAGAATCTTGAGGGCCTCTAGTATTACTTTTTTTCTTAAAGACGAAAGAATCTCGGGATACCCTTGTGGTGCTTTTGTTTTGGTGAAGTTGAATAAAGAATCTCGGGGGTTTCTAGTGTTACTTTTTTCTAAATTGCGAAAGAATCTCGGGGGCCCCTAGTGTTATTTTTTTTTTCTAAAAGCCAAAACAATCTCGGCGTCGCCTACTGTTATTTTCTTCTAAAAAGCAGAAGAATCTCGGATTCCCCTAGTGTTTTTTTTTTTTTTTTTGAAAAACTGAAAGAATCTCGGGGGCTCTTAGTATTACTTTTTCTTAAAAGTGAAAGAATCTCAGGGTACTCAGAGTCCCATTGTGTTTTTTTTTGGTGAAACTGAAGGAATCTCTTGAAATTTTTTTTACATTTGATTCGCATATTTTGTTTTTTATGCTTTCTATACTTTACTACTCATTTTTTTCTTTGCCTAGCTTAAATTTTGCTGTTAAAATTAAAGTAAACATGTTACCGTTGATAGCAACTTTGTTCAACTTTTGCGGTATTTAAAGGAGTTGTAGAAAAAAAGTGGCGGCTTTAAGTTGATTACTACAAAAATTTACCATTTTAGGCATGTTTTTTAGTTTTTAGTTTCTTGGTATCGAAATAAGTGTACACATATTAAGAGAAAAACGCAAAAGGGAGCCCCGTCCACCCGCCCTATTTCAATTGTGATGATTTTTTTTATTCGTCGAGAGCCAAGGGGGCGGAGCTTAACTGCAAAATCCTTATTTCTCTACGAGAAATTAAAAACATGTTTTTGAGTATCGTGTTGTTCAAACAATACTGTGTATATTAAGAAAATATTAAAGCCAAAGATTAAGCTCCAGCCATACCTGTCCTGATCTAAATATATAGTAATGAAGTTTTCATTCGGTGCCAGATCTAGAGGCGCAGCCTAATTGTAAAATCCTATTTCCCTACAAAAATTGACCATTTTAAACATGTTTCAAGTTTCTAAGAATAAGAAAAACTCATCACAATTGAGATGGGGTGGGTGGGAGGAGTGGGAGGGGTTTATATTTTACCTTTTTTTCTTAATATACATACATTGTTTGAACAACACGATACTCAAAAACATGTTTTTAATTTCGTCTAAAGAAATAAGTATTTTGCAGTTAAGCTCGCCTCCTTGGTTCAGGGAGAGTAAAAAAATCATTACAATCGAGTTAGGGCGGGTGGGCGGGCTTACATTTTGCCTTTTTGTTTTAATATGTGTAGACTTCTTTTCACAGCATGAAACTTAAAACATATTTAAAATGGAAAATTTGTATAAAAAAATATCGATTTTGCAATTAGGCTCCGTCTCATAATTGCAAAATCCATATTTCCTTGCAAAAATGTACCATTTTAACCAAGTTTTAAGTTTCTTGTTGTGAAAAGATGCCTATGTATATTAGGGTGGCGCAAAAAGACGACTATTTTTTGAGCCTCGTGTGAAAATAATTATGTTAGTTTATCATGTTTTAAGACCCTCCTCCAAAGGACAGCTCAAAAAAAATTTTTTAAGAAGTCGCTCCAAATTTTTAAAAAGTTGCCCAATTGTCAAAAATTGATTTTCTTTTTATATAATTTTGTTTTTCTCGTTACAGTAATATATTATAGACGAAAAAAAATAAGTTTGCCAAATTTTTAGTTCAAAATATTAATTTTTAAAGGTCGCTCATAATTTTTTTTTTAATTTACAAGAGCATTGCCTTAGATCTTTTCGAGCGACTGTAAGCTTTAAAATTGTATAAATTTACAATCTGCTTCTAGAATTCATAACAAAGTTTATTTAAATGTTGTTAAAATGTTGTAACTGTTTATATAAAAATATCGAGTTATTAAAAAATTATTTCCAGCATTGTGTTTGATTTTTTTTTCCATCTCGTGGTGTATTTTCATCGATTGTCTCATTAATTAAAAGGTAAAACATTCATTGAAGCTTAATACAGATATTAAAAAGTCGCTCGAAACATCTAAAGCAATGCTTTTGCAAATTAAAAAAAATTATGAGCTACCTTTAACAATTAATATTTTGAGCTAAAAACTTGTGAAACTTTTTTTTTTCGTCTATAAAACATTACCGTAACGAGAAAAACAAAATTAAACAAAAAGAAAATCAATTTTTGACGATTTGGGAACTTTTGTAAGAATTTGGAGCTACTTCTTAAATTTTTTTTTTTTTGAGCTGTCCTTTGGCGGAGGGTCTTAAAACATGATAAACTAACATATTTTCACACGAGACTCAACACAAAAAAAATCAACCCTAATATATATTAAGAAAAAAAAAGCAAAATAAAACAAATCCACAATTTGTTTAAATACTAAAATCTGTCATATGTCCTAATGAAAATTTTGAATTTTTTTCTGACCTGACGACACTTTCTGTAGATTTCGACAAGTTACTTTCCGCTTCATTTTTCGTTATCTCCTACCACGTTCACAGAATCCTCATTAAAATATTGCAATAGTTGGACCTAAAAAAATATGAATTTCGAACCTAACATTTCGAAAATCTTAATAGGGGACTATTAACACACTATAATTTACGAATCAACACTTCGATATCTGTACCTCAGAATTTTTCGTGGATTTTTACAAGTTTTTTCAAAAGTTCAATTTTTCAGTACACTGGTACGAAAATTTTGGCCCTTTTTATACCATTTTCGAAAGTTACATGTAGATTTCGACCTCTAAAAGTTACATTCGACTTCATTTCTTCAATAAGTCCCACCATTTTTTCACAATTGCCAATAGAAATTATTGTAGTTAGAATTTTGAAATAAGGCCGAAAATAACTTCTAGAACTCAAACTTGATCAGAAAATGTCTATAGGTAATTTTCGAAGTTGTTCGAAAAAGGGTCGAAATTTTCATTTTGAAAAATTGAGCTATGGGAAAATTGAGCTTTGGGAAAAGTTGCCAAAAAATTTAAAAAATCATGGAACATGTATCTTCATCTACTGATTTATAGCAAGCTTATGATCCCGGAGGAAGATTTTAGACATATTTGATTTGGAATTAAAAATTGCCATATGCCCTAATGAAAGTTTGGACCCTTTTTCCAGTTGAAGAAGTTTTTTGTAAATTTAGATTTCCACAACTTATTTTCCAATAGTATGAAAATTATAAAAATTTTGAGACTTTCTGGATCATTTTCGAAAATTATCTAAACACATTTACATGTAGATTTGGACCTCTAGACCTTACTTTCGTCTTCATTACTACAATTTTTAGGATTTTTTGAAAAAAATCAATTTCAAACCAAATGTTTCGAATATCTTTTTTTTATCGAAGTTTAACTTCGGTATCAAAGAAATGAAACCGAAAGTAACTCGAGAGGTCGAAATATTTTTTTAGGTAATTTTGAAAAGTGATCGGCAGTTGTTCACGAAACTAAAGCTGCAAGCATTCCAGAACATTGGGTATACTATAATAAATAATATATATTATAAAATTCAAAGATCCACTTGCAAGACAACTGTCTACGTTTTGAGCTGATTTACAAAATATGACCTGAGTGTGGATTAGTTATATAGTTTTTTGGCGTCGGTCCGAGAACTTAGGGTTCGTCCTTATACCAAATTGGAAACTTTGAGGTAATCGCGCATCCGTTTAATCTACCACACACTAAATTAGCACTAGTGGCATTAATGTTGTAACGACGGAAGCTATACGAGTTTAACTTACTGGTAGTGTTTAAAATACAACTATAACATTTATTCCCATCCAACTGAAACGTGTTTTTTAAATTTTACTTAAACTGGTACACACTTCATCTTCCACGTTCTTTTGTTTAACTCACGTAATTACGTACTTGCGTGAATAACACCCACATTCGTAATAATTTTATTGCCTCGACAGACAAATAATGAGTTAATTAAATAAATATAAAAAAAATACACAAATTTTCTCTGAAGCGATGTATATTTTTAATATTCTGCGAAAATTTAACCTTTTCCTACTCATAAAAACATTTCAAAATATTTGTTTCTAATAAATTTATAATGTGAATTCAAAAGTGAGGCTATTACGAGTACCTACTACAATTACATAATCAAGACAACTTGTGATTGGGTCGTCAACTTAAACCAAAATCGATGTCAGATTTTACCGATACATATTCTTACCTGTGTGTTGTTATTGTTAATTTCATCAGAGAAAGAAAATAAAACGGTTGATCATCATTTTGTAAGTAAAGAAGTGCGACAGAGTAAAGCTATACTCACGTCGACGATGAGATGCGGCGTGGGGAAAACTTTGGATGCCGGCGACTCCTTGGGCACATATCTGTAGAATTCGGAGTCATATCGATACCACTTGATGGTGTAAAGGGCTGCAGATTCCAGATCGTAATCGCAAGCCAATGTCACGGAATCTCCTACTCTTACAGCTTCCGGCACTTTGATGTGCATGTCCCTTAGCGCTCGCACGTCTGCAACAATGTATTTGTCCCATAAATACGCTGCACGAGACAACACAATTGTTTTTTGAACATACAATGTGCCACTATTTATCGACTTATTTGTTCCCCTTTTTAAAACGTACCCAATAAATCTCGTCGTAATTAAATTTAAGTGCACTTAAGAGATACAATCGAGTTGTAAATAAATGGTGATATAAACGGAAAACAAAGGGTTGAGGTCACAAGAACATGTTATATAAGTTTCTATTACACTTTAAGACATTATAAATTCCCCTCTTATCCGGTGACTGGATATCCGCCCCCGGAGACGCAAAGAACACGAACGTTTATAAGATTTTTTTTGTATTTTGTCCCATGCGCTCCCTTAATAGTCTTTAAGGGATTTTGGTTTTATATGTTGTACTGTGAGAAATCAAGCATTGTTTGATTATGAAATTTATATTTTCTGAAAAACATAATTGCTAAATGATGTTACCCAAAACACATTTTCTTTGTTGTCACAGATGCTACATTTTGAACATTAATTCTGTTTATCTACAGGACACTGCCAAAATTATGTCATCTTCGGAAAAACGGGTCTACTGGTCGCTGAAGAAGCAGTAAACTTAGTCATTGTCTGATTGTGTGCTTTTTGGATTATATTACAATCTCAAGTTCCTTTGAAATGAATTAATCTTTTCGTCTGTCTGTTGTTGTAGTCAAATTTTAATATATGTAAGAAATATCGTGTAAATGATAATAAACTGATAATCAAAATTTGTCTAATCATCCCCGTCTACAAATTGTTGACGTGACCTCAAACTGTTGCTTAGTAAATGCCATTCAAATTTTATAAAATAATATACTAAGCATACTTGTGACTTTAAGTTTTACCCTAGGCATCCAAACTTTTCTCAAAAAAATCCAAATTATATAGTAGGAGTAACATTTTGCCGTCTGTTCGAATTTTTATTAGACAGATAATATAATCTACGAAACGACTGGACCGATAGTTGTCCAATTTTATATGTGAGTTAGGAATATCTTGTAAATGGTGAATCGCTAACCAAAATTTGGATAAACATTTTCACCAACAATAGGATGACGTAATTTCTAAAATTTACGTTAGGTAATAATATCAAGTCAATTTTATAAAATAAGATAATCCTTCACATGTGGTTTATGAATTCGTGTTCAAATTTTAGCCTAAAGTTAAAAACGTATATTTTGCAATTTAGCTTTGAAACGGCAAAACCGAAGGTGTTGAAATTTTGCAAACGTTTTGAAGTCAAGGTAATCATGTTAAACCGTTATCGAAAACGTAATAATTTATCCCCTTCCCAAAAAATGATGACGTCATCTCAAAATTTTGCCTAATAAATCCTCTCTGAAATATGCAAAATATGATGATTGATGATTATGTAATTGTGGTGTATCATGTGATTTTAGAATTACTTATGCAAAAAAATATATGAGGCAATATTGATTAAAATAAGAACGACACACTCCATTTTTCAGAAAATTTAGGAATGGTATTTTAGCTTTTCTTCAGTTTTTCGATTTGCAATTTTTAATTTTTCGATTTTTCAATTTTTCGTTTCTACAGTGTTTCAAGTTTTTGATTTTTATTTTTCATTTTCTCATTTTTCAATGTTTCTTTCAATTTTATAATGTTTTGCTTATTCCATTTTTCAGATTTTCAGTCTCTGATTTTTTAATTTTTGGATTTCTCAAATACCCAATTTTCCAATTTCTTTAATTTTCAACATTTTGATTTTAGAATAATTCGTTTTTTCGGTTTTTCACTTTTTCATTTCTTCAGTTTTTCAAGTTCTTGACTTCCAAGTCTTATATTTGGAAGTTTTCATATTGTACTTTTTCGTAATTTCAGTTTGATTTTTCAGTTTTACAATGTTGCAATATTTCCATTTTCTAATCGAAAATGTTGAAAATTAAAAATCGAAAAACTAAAAAATCGGAAAAATTGAAAAATCGAAAAACTGAAAAAACGTGAAACTGCAAAATCGAAAAAGTAGAAAATCGAAAAATTTCAGATCAAGAAACTGAATAAATGAAAAATTGAAACATTGAAGGACTAAAAATCGAGAAACTTAAGTTAATGAATAGAAAAATTGATAAACCCAAAAATTGTTAAATCGAGAAATTATGGAGTCGTCAAAATTGTAAATTCAAAAAACTATAGCACTGAAATATAGGAAAACTGAAAAATTAAATATCGAGAAATTCTAAAATTAAAATCGAAAGCTTGCAAAATCGAATAAATTAAAAAGTATAATTATTATTATTGCATATTTAAAATGAAAACTAGAAAAATTTCAAATCGAAAAATTTAAAAAACGAGAAACGGAAAACTCTAGTTGACGAAACGAAAAATTAAAAATCTAAAATTTGAAAAATCGAAAAATCCCAAAATTGAAAAATTTGACATTGAAAACAATAACATTAAGAAAACAGATTTTGAAAAATCGAAATATTGAAAAAAAGGAAACAAAAAGCCGAAACGAAAAATTGAATAAAAAAATTAAAACTCGTGAAATTACAAAACGAAAAATTGCAAAATCCAAAAACTGAAACATCCAAAAGCTGGAAAAGCGAAAAACTGAAAAATTTTAAAATGAAAACTCGGAGAGTTACAATTCGTAAAACTGACGAAAAAAAATATTAAAAATTGAAAAATTGCAAATCGAAAACTTGAAGACACAGAAAATTTTGAAAAAACAAAAAATTATAAAATGGGAAGATTGAAAAATCGAAAAATTATAAAAATAAATAAAATAAAAAACCGAAACGAAAAACTACAAATCGAAAATTTGAAAAAATGAAAAATTAAAGGATCGAAAAATATAAAAAACTAAAAAATTGGAAAATCCAAAAATTTAAAAAATTGACATTGAAAAAATAAACATAAAATCGAAAAATTGAAAAAAAAAGAAAACAAAAACCGTAACGAAAAATTGAAGAAAAGTGAAACTGAAAAATCGTAAAATTAAAAAATTAAAAATTTCAAACTCGTGTAATTACAAATCGAAAAATTACAAAATCCATAAACTGAAACATCCAAAAGCTGGAAAATCGAAAAACTGAAAAATTGAAAAACGAAAACTCGGAAAGTTACAATTCGTAAAACTGACGAAACTATGAAAATATTAGAAATTGAAAAATTGCAAATCGAAAACTTGAAGAGACAGAAAATTTTGAAAAAACGAAAAATTATAAAATGGGAACCTTGAAAAATCGAAAAATTATAAAAATAAATAAAATAAAAAACCGAAACGAAAAACTGCAAATCGAAAATTTGAAAGAATGAAAAACTAAAGAATCGAAAAATTGAAAAACTAAAAAATTGAAAAATCCGAAAATTTAAAAAATTGACAATGAAAAAATAAACATTATAAAATCGAAAAATTGAAAAAAAATAAAACAAAAACCGAAACGAAAAATTGAAGAAAAGTAAAACTGAAAAATCGTAAAATTAAAAATTAAAATTTCAAACTCGTGTAATTACAAATCGAAAAATTGCAAAATCCAAAAACTGAAACATCCAAAAGCTGGAAAATTGAAAAATGAAAACTCGGAGAGGAACAAAAATATGATAAATCGAAAAATTGCAAAGCGAAAACTTGAAGAAACGGGAGACTTTAAAAAATTGTAAATCGGAACATTGAAAAATCGAAAATTTATAAAAATAAAAAAAATAAAATCCGAAACGAAGTTACAAATCGAAAATTTGAAAAAATGAAAAATTAAAAAATCAAAAAATTGCAGAATTTATAAATTAAAAAATTCAACAGTTTGAAAATTAAAACAAAAAATTAACGTGAAAACTCGAAAAAATGCAAATCGGAAAACTGAAGAAACAAAGCAAAGAAAAATTAAAAATTTTTAAATTCGAGTAAAAAAGCTGGGGAAGTGCTATTTACGCCACTGGTTTTAACTTCATAGAGATTATCAGAAAATAAAAATCGCAAGAATTTTTATCATTTTTCAAAAAAGTGGGATTTGCTGGAATGTAGAGAGACTAGAGAAGTTCTGTTGAAATAACCTTTGATAGGAGCAATTCTGAATCAAACTTGTTGAATTTAGAGGGTGTTAAATTGCAAATTTCCATAGTAACGAGTTAAATTCGTAAATCTGATTGGCTGTTTATTTTTTAACAACCTTTAAACTTTAACAGGTTATTCAGAATTGCCCCTATTAAGTTTTTAGTTTTGATAAAATTTCACTTTCTCAAGAAATAAAGCTTTACAACAAACTTTATTAATGTAGTGTCGTACACAAGGTAATTAGGAAAATAATTCAAGCAAATTTTGTACGATAAGCTAGAAATGTACACTTACTGAACTGACAAACATGACAAGTTGGGATTAGGTGAACGTAATCTAAGACACCGCCTTTGTTTCAAGCAATTGTTCCATAACTACCCATTATGACTTTACCAGATAAGTAGTTAGATTAGTTCGGTTGAGGTGCTTTTGACTGCAGAGAAATTTACTTTTATACGTTACTTTTCGCTCTGAAAGATTTTTAAAGCTTGCTTAACACCTTCAGAAAAAAGTCGGGACTGATGTTTGGAATAAACTTTATTAGAAAACACATTTGTCTCTTTTCTTAACTTTATATATGTCATGTTAAAGTAAGTTACATGTCAATGATCTTCCGTTTTACCTTTTCGTGAAAGTTCTTTCGTATTGATTTTTCAGACGTCTTGTACAGTGTCAAGAGTAAGGATCTGAGGAACATGTGTTAAAAAAAAGAACACCGCCGTCACTAGTTGATAAAACCGGCCTCCGAGTGAAGATAAACATCCTTACTACATTTCTTAAAAAAGGGCTGACACTTCTAATCGCACGTAGAAGAACGAGCTGTTAACATGAATGTGTCATAAAATTTCGTAATGAACATGTTGTTGTGTTGTCGAGTTGACACTCACGGAACGTCATCTTTATAAATGCTGCGTTGAAATAATTACCAAATAATTACAATTAAATATTCACATTCTACGTAATGTA